CTTGCTGCCAGATTTTTAACATTTTTTATTATTATTGTATTTTTTTTCTTTTTCTGATAAATAATGTTTTAAACTAATCTCCATTCCTCTCTGGCATCCTTCTGAACATCATCACCTTCCAGGGTGAAGATCCGGTCTCCCAGAGCGTCCACGATGTCGTTCAGCGCAGCTTCGTCGGTCACGTTGAAGAAGTATTTGTCGTCGGGGTCGCTGGCGATGTACTTTATCTCGTTGATGAACGTCTCGGGGTCCTGCTGCCTCCGGATGTAGTGACCCAGAACCTGCAGCCCGGCGTGGAGAGAAAAGTAGATTTAAAAAAAAGAGAAAACATGGTGAACGAATAAACAGGTAGCAGAAGGTCAATAAAACATGGAGGGATTCAGCTGGAAGCAGAAGAAGCAGCGATGAAAGTGAGAAAACAGAAAGTAAACAGATGCTGCACACGGAGCAGAGCGATCACTTCTCCATGTTCACTGAATGTAATTCAGCAGTAATTAAGCCGAAAGGCAGCAAATTGAGCGGAAAACACGAGGCGGGAGGAAGTGACGGCGGCCGCCAGGGGTTTGCAGACGAGGAGCGCAGGCCTCGCTGAGAGGTGGAGAGATGACTGATGCAGAAGATTAACGCCCGAGCTACAAATGAGAAAATTCCAAAAGAGAAACCGAACCCAAGAATCTCCCTCCGTGACTCCGGCTGCCAAGCAAACCAAGGAAATCCTCTGTTTTCAAAGGGCAGAGAGGCTGCGAACACGTTTATACGTTAACCCTTCAAACTCCAGGCGGCTCCTGGAGGTTTTTAAATTCTACACATTTCTCATTTTTCACTGAAACTTAAAGTCCTGCAGCTTGAAGGAAACACAACAACCATGAAGGAGGAGGAGAGAGAAGCCAGAGATGACTTCTGTTCAGAAAGACAGAAATCAGAAGAAAAGAAAAAAGTTGAATTTATTTCATTATTTGTTTACAAAAATCCTTCCGTAAAAAGACATGCAAAATGACCAGAAACAGACACAACATGACCACACAGAGACACAAAACAACCGCAAAGAGACACTAGATGACCACAAAGAGACACTAAACAACTCCAAAGACACACAAAACAGCCACAAAGAGCCACATGACCAAAAAAGACACAAAACAACCACAAAGAAACACTAAACAACTACAAAGAGACACAATACAGCCACGAAGAGACACAAAACAACCACAAAGAGACACAAAATGACCAAACAAGACACTAAGCAACCACAAAGAGACACTAAATGACCAAAACAGACACAAAATGACCACAAAAAGACACAAAATGACCACAAAGAGACATAAAACGACCACAAAGAGACACTAAACAACTACAAAGAGACACAATACAGCCACGAAGAGACACAAAACAGCCACAAAGAGACACTAAAAAATGACCAAACAAGACACTAAGCAACCACAAAGAGACACAAAATGACCAAAACAGACACAAAATGACCACAAAAAGACACTAAATGACCACAAAGAGACATAAAACGACCACAAAGAGACACAAAACAGCCACAAAGAGACAAAGAATGACCAAAAAAGACACAAAACAACCACAAAGAGACACNTGACACCAGAACAACAGAAAGCGTCTCACCTGGACTAACACACCTGCTGCCTGTTGAATAAACTGGTTTTAAGGTTCTTTTATTGATTAAATGAAGCCACACGTGAGTTGGTGGCAATAAAATATTCCTCAACAAGGAAATTTTAAAGAAAAATGTCAAGATATTCATGTTGTTTGTGACTGTTGGTTCCTTTTAGTGGTCCAAATGTTTTATTTTTATTCTAAACTCTGATATTAAATATTAAATTCATGTTTGTCCAGTTTTGTAATATTTTAATTTATTGATTTTCCAAGTTTTTGTTAAAACCTATTGTATGAATAAACTAGATTTTATTAAATTTACTTGTATTGTACAGCTTGTTCTTATTTAGACAATTTCAGATAATAATGAGAAAAATCACAGAAATAAATATTAATTTACACGTTAGCCCTACAAAAAAAAAACATACAAAAAAAAACAACCCAATGAATGAAAAACCCAAATCAATAAATAATGTCCAAATAAGATTTTTTTTTTTAAAATATAATTTTTTTTAACTGTATTTGGCCAGAAAATGACACTGTTTTTTAAAAAAACAAAAAACAAAAAACTGTTTTTAAATCAGCAAAAAATGTCAAATTTTTGACAGATTATTGATCATATGTCCAAGAAAAATTCTGTATATTAAGGATTTTTTTTAAAATGACAAGTATTTTTCTTTATCTGCTCCGTATCGTGTAAGTAAAAATCCCAGAGAAAAGTATGAATTTACATGTTGACTGTCAAAAAAAAAGAGGCTCGAACTGTGAATAACATCTAGATCACAAATGTGTTTAAATAATTTTTATAAACGGTAATCTGTTCTTTTCCAACATTTGATTATGAAAAAACACTCCTTTTGCTGTATTTAAATCAGCAAACGTGTCTATATTTTACAGATATTTGCTGCTTCATATTAATTCTGTATATAAAGGTACAAAAAATGTCTTGATATTTTAGTCTTGCTCTGTGTTTATTAAAAATGACAGAAAAACGTACTAAGTTACATGTTGACTTTAAAAGGTCCTTTTTGAACATGTTATTTTACAGATTCGTTAAATTACAGATAAAATCTAGTAAAATAATTTGCAAAATAATGTAATTATGCCAATATTATACAGATATTTGCAGTAATTTGAAAGAAAAACGACGTATACCAAGGACTGAAAAATTATTTTACAAATTTATCCAGTTTTGTTAAATTACAGATAGTGTC